GTTGTTTGAGGTTGAGAGACCCACATTAAAATGTGGGCAGCAGCATCTCATGGGCTGGGCTCCTGGGCTGAATAAAAGGAAAAGTGGGCTTTTGAGATGCCTCCGTGGGGCACTTGCTGCCAAGCCTGACTACACGAGGTCGCACTCCAGAGCCCACACAGTGGAAGGGAGAACCAGCTCCCACACAGTTGTTCTCTGACCTCCGTATGTGTGTTTGGTACAAATATACATGAGTGAATAAATGTAATACTTAAAAAAAAAAGATTGATGGTTCATTTGTGTGTGTGTGTGTGTGTGTGTGTGTGTGTGTGTGTGTGTGTGTGTGTGTCCGTGTGTCCAGAAGAGGGCATCAGGTCCCCTGGAGTGAGCAGCCTGACAGGGGTTCTGGGAACCCAACTTGGGTCCTCTGGAAGCAGCAACCTTCTTAACTTCTGAGCCATTTCTCCAGTCCCGTAGTATTTTTATTTTAAGGAGAAAGTAGGCGGGGCATGGTGGCATGTGTCTTAAATTACAGATTCAGGAGACAAAAGCAAGTGGATCTCTGTGAATTCAGGGTCAGCCTGATCTACAGAGTGAGTTCCAGGCCATCCAGGGCGAAATGGTGAGATCCTGTCTCAAAAAGAAAGAGGAGGAGGAGGACAGGGTGGGGAGAGAGCCAGACGCCAGCACTCATTTCTCTGCCCGCTGACCGCAGAGGTGATGTGACCAGTCACCTCTCCTCCTAGTGCCGGTACTTTCCCCCCACGGTGGACTGTACCTTAAACTGGGGGCCAGGGAAAGCGCCTCCATCTTTAAGCTGCTTTCGTCAGGCAGTTTGTTACGGCAAGAAGAAAATTAAGCAAGGACACCCCCTACGCAGTGTAAGCAGAGCTTTATATGACTCTGGGTTCTAGAAGCCCCGGCTAACTAGTGATGACAACCCGTCTTCAGGACACCAAGTAAGTAGGTGAGGAATGGTAGAAAGCAAAGAGAGGGGATTGATTCAATATGGTCGTGTGGTGAAGAGGAACAAGCAAAGGTTCCCAGTGGCCCTCAGTTCTGTCTTGGGGGTACTGGTGTTAGCTTTTATGGAGGAAGCATTGGGGCAGAGATCAAGAACTCAAGGTGTGGTCTGTTGATTGTCTCCATTCTGGTTCTGCAAGGCAGTCCAAAGAATTCCTTAGCATCATTGTCCCTTGAGGGGGCCAGTCCGGTTTCTACAAGATGTTCCTCCTGCTCTAGAGTGCTCCTAGCCTACCATCATGGGTGACAGCCCTTCTCTGGGCGGGGGGAGGGGAGGGGAGTGGTCCAACCTGCAAGGTTATGTTCTCTCTGGAATCTACAGTAGCTGCAAGTTTAGGTCAATGACTTCTCTGCGTCTTCAGCGTTGAAGGGGACTGAGTTACATTAGATCGGCTCTCCATGTGATGAACACGTGGACCTGCAGAGGCAAGCTGGTGGCCCAAGGGAAAACAGTAACAGATAAGGGCAGAGGTGCCAGGCTTCCATCCTGCCTTTGGGCAGAGATGCCAGGCTTCCATCCTGCCTTTGGCTGCCTTGTGGACACAAATGAGGAGTCTTGGGGAATGTGGCTTCTGAGGGTGCCATCTCTGCAGGATCTGTGCTCTCAGGGCCCGAACTGCCAGGATCACAGGACTCATAGAGAAATGCATGCAAGGCGAAGAGACTCTGCAGACATCCCTCTGCTAGCAGCATTTCCTCGGCACCCAGCCCAGAGCTCCCCTGCCTCGCTGTGACTGTCCCCTCAACACCAGTATACACAGAGCTGACACAGTGATCAGCCAAACCTCAGCCCGAGCATGGCGGCTTGGCCACAGACTCTTCTTGTCCCCATCCCTCAACTACCTTGAAGACAGGGCTGGGGCACTCAATCCCTCTTGTCTTCCTGGTGTGGCTCGGCTGATCCCCTTGCCTACACTACACCACTACTTTTTTCATTTGATTTGGGGGTGGCTGGCCATCTCTCGCTTGTTGGACTCCAGGAACAGAAAGACTGAGGCTCTACATTGTGCGGCACCTGTCAGCAGAAGCCGCGAGGCTCAGCCCAGGATTGCTGCGGGAAGCCCGAGGTGTCCTCTGCTTAAGGGAGCTCCACTAAAGTAAAGGCAGATCCCTGCCGACGCTGCAGAAAAGAATTTCAAAACAGGTAAGAGTGAAGCAAAGTGAAGCGAGTTTACTAAGTAGAGATAAGGAGAGTGCACGGTTCACACTTAAGCAGGATGTTTGGAGAGCGTGACTCACGGCAAAAGAACAGCACACACCGGAGATAAGAGGGCTTTTCGGCGGAGAGGGCTGCAATTAGATGTCTTCAGAAGGGCTCTGTATAGGGTTCTGCCGCTGAGTTCTGTTTTCCAAAGGATCTAATTTCACAACAGGGTTTAATGATTAAGTGAAGCTCAGGTTTTAAGCAAATTTTAAAATTTAAGTAAAAATACAGAAACTGGCCAGGTCTGGTGACCCACACCTTTCAGCC